GGAGCTGGCCTGTGGCACCTTCTGGGCAGCGTCCCCACCCATCTTCCCCTAACGGGAGCTCTGACCAGCCACCCAAAACTGGACAAAAATTCCTGCGAGAGGAGCCCCTCTGGACTGAAACTCTCAGCCTTGCGCGTAAAGGGTTTTGCTTCAGGGCCTGGGAAGAGCTCGGCTTCCCAGCCTAGCTCTGGTGCCCCCTGCTGGGAAAAGCCGGGTGCAGGGAAACGGGGACACTTCCTCTCCTGGGTCGTCTGGCTGGGGCTGTAGGTCACAGAGGTGACATCTGAGGCTTGAGATGAATTCACATCAAAGCTGGAAGCTGGAGGGACGAGGACGTGCCAGTTACCTAAAAAGTTTCATTCATGGGAACTTGAAGACCGCTTTGCAAAGGGCGGCCTCTCTGCACCCCCAAGGAAACCGGTGAAAGATCCTCTATGGGGATCAGGCAGAGGATTAGGAGTTTTGTCGCCCTCGCTCGCTCACGGCCGCCCGCCGTGCCAGCACTGCCTCCATCAGGACCCCCTCAGGGCCGGCTCTTGATTTCCCTTGGGTCGGAGAGAGCGCGCACAGTGAAGGGAGCCGAAGGAGCTGCGTCGGCTCAGCTGTGCTTCCAGCCCTGGAGCCTCATCCCGTTTCGGTGAGGAGGCAAGTGTGAAAAATGGAGCGTGATGGAGACTCGTCACAAGATCTCCCAGGGCCTCACTGGAGCTGCCTGCTCTCAATCCAGCTGCGATGGCGGGGGTGATTAAGATGCGTGTTTGTCCCTGAGCGCCTGTGTGTGTGTGTGTGTGTGTGTGTGTGTGTGTGTGTGTGTGTGTGAATGCCCACATAAGGTTGGAAGCTGGGAGGCACCCTGGCTTTTGGGGGCCCAAACTAGCCTGCTTCCCCTTCTGGGTCTGCTGGCCTAATTCCTAGCTGCAGCTGCCGTTCTGGGCTCCCCTCCCCGAGGCAATCTCTCTGCAGATTTGACAGCCAGAGAGGAGGGGCCGAGGGAAGGGGAATGGACTGGGGAGAGGCCTCAGCTGTAATCTGATGTAGATGATCCGGCAGCCTTCTCCAGCTCGGCTGCCCTTTGCCGTCAGCTCTCCAGGCGATTTCCTCTATGCCTGCACTCTCCCCTCCTACCTTCGTCTCCTTAAGAAAGTGTCCAGAAAGTTAAACCCACACACATGAACACACACAATCTACAAAAAAAAAAAAAAAAAATCTGGGAACAGGAGCAGGCAGACAAGTGAGAGAGCACGCGCGCAAGAGAGAGGACTCAGATCGGTCTTGGAGGAAGACGGCGCAGGCAGAGGGAGGCTAGGGTTGGTGGGGACCCAGACTAAGGTCTCTTAGCCCCCAGGAGCCTCCTTCATGGACCCGGGGATCCTGAGAGGGGCTGCCTCAGCTTAGGATGGGCAACTGTGTCAAGTCTCCACTGAGAAATCTCTCAAGGAAGGTATGTTTCTGGAGTGATCAGGGCCCAAAGCCTGGGGTGGGGGATTGGAGCATCTTGCCATCTGCCCCAGAAGTTGGGGGCAGAGAGGGTGGGCATCTGAAACTTGCTACCCTTCCCGTGGGTTCTGTCTAGAGCTGCTTCCCTGTTTCTACCTCCAGATTCCCTCCTATCACAGTTTTCTATGTCCCAGGCTCTGAGCTGAAGTTGGGACTTTAAGCTGCATGGGGCGCCGTGTTTGGGAATTTGTGCAAGATTTAGGAAAGAAGCCACGTAGCTCCATGAAAAGCGTGGATCTTTAGGATGTGAGTGGACAGACCCCCCCTTGGAGCCAACAGGATCAGAAGAGGGTTGAGCTGGGCTTTGACCCTGCTGCTGCTGGTTCCTTCCCGGCATTAGGATGGGGGCTCATTCATCTCCTTTGAGCGTCTCTGAGCCTCTCTGGTGGTCTCTAAGCCTTCAGAGTTGTGGGTTTTGAAGTAGATCGTCTTGCTCCTGAGAGGAACCAAGCCAGGTGTCCCCTTCTACCCTTGATAATTCTTGAGTCAGGTCAAAGACTCACAGCTAGAACCAGACTGGTTTGGGGCCCCAGGGTTGTTTCCATCGAGAAACAGAGTGTACAGCAAAGGCATCTGTAAGTTGCTTTCTGTAGTGGATGTATTGCTTACACACCACGGTAATATCCTTTTGCAAGAATCCTTTTAGGAAAGCAAATAATCACCTCCAAAGCATCTTTCCTGCAAACCTGGGCTTATATCTGTAAGGTCTTGCTTTATGTGGGCTCTGCCTGTATCTCTGGTCCTCTGTAGTCAGGCCATAGAAGAAACTCATAGATATTACTTAAAGGAAGAAGTAATGTGAGGGATGTTTTCCTCCAAATTATTTTATTTACCAGATGAGGAACTTGATTGCCACTCAGGTTAAGTAACTAACCCAAGGTCTCAGGTTAGCTAATGGCTTCTCTACCCCCAGCCCCATTCTATCTCCTCTGTTAGTTTGACAGCCTCTCAATTTAGGACATTTCAGGCTTTTCTGCTCATCATCTTCCTCATTTAGCTAAGCTGCTCACATCAAATTCCTTTTAATCTTCACTGTTCCTTGGATCCTTCTGAGGGTTGACTGTTTCTTCTGTGCACACACCCCCCAATCATCTGTCATCTTAAAGGAGAGTCTTTTGCATCAGAGGTGGCCTCCACACTGTTGCAGAGAAGCAGAAACGGATCTGAATTAGTTTAGAGGACCACAGGGCGAAGGCCCTTTCCCTGGGTTCTGTCCAGAGTTTCAAGAGGTAAACTAAAGAACAAGTATTGTCCTTCTGTCCTACCCAACCCATCTTCCCTTATACAGCAGAGGGCTTAAGAGTCAGACTTCTCAGGTCTCCTCTTTCTAGCCATATGACCTTGGATAAGTTACTTGACCTCTCTGGGTCTCAGTTCCTTTGTCCATCAAGTGGAAATACTAACATCTACCTCCCAAGGTGATTTTGGGGGCCAAGGAAAGAGCTGGGAACGCTGCCTGGAATATAGTACTCAGTAAATGTTAGCTAGTGTTATTAGCTTTTCCACTCTGGGTTTTCTGAGAAGGGGGATGGAAGTAAAAAGGGAAATAGGAGAGGTTTTGCATCCATGGAGTAGGGCAGAAGATCATAAAACGTATTGCATCCAATTTCATGTATTTGTATAATAGTAATCATTGCTTCTTCCTGAATATCTGCAAGATCTCCAACACCTGTTATCTCATTTGCTCTTTTCCACCCAGTAGTTCTCTTGGCTATTTTCTAGAGAAAGGAGCTGGACTCAGAGATAAGAGCGTTACTAAGATCCCACAGCCAACCAGAAGCAGAGCTGAGATGTAAACCCTGGTCTGTGTAAATCCAGAGGTGGTATTTTTTGTGGGTTTTTTTTTGTTTTTTTGAATTTTATTTATTTTTTTATACAGAAGGTTCTTATTAGTTATCTATTTTATACATATTACTATATATATGTCAATCCCAATCTGGTATTTTGTTTTTATTTTTGCCTCTGTGAGAGGCTGCCTCTCTCTTTTTCCTGCTGTCGGAGATGTTATTCATAGATTAACGAACCTGACCTTACAGGTCATCTTAGCCCAAATTCCCACTCCGTGGGCAATGCTCTCGCCCACCTCACCAAGTGCTTCCTCACTCAACTTCTCCTTGAATACCTTCAGTGAGAAGGAGCTTGTGCTTGGCGAGCTTGTGTTGTTAGAGAGCTGTTAGGTCATGAGTCGTGCCAGCCCCTCCTGTTGCCCTGCCACACTCAGGAGACATCCCCTCAGTGCCAGGAAACATTGTCAGCCTGTGGGCCGCTGCCCACTTGGCTTCCTAAGTAGTAGCTGGGAATTGGTAATGGAAAGAGGAGGTCTCCTCCAGGCTCTGAGCAGGGCAGGACTGGGCTGTCAGGTACCATCACTGGCCAGGGAAGAACAGAAGCATCCTGGGGCAACTTGGTGCCAGGCAGGGTTAAGATCAAGAGCTGCAGTGGAAATTTCCCAGCCATCACTGGTTCCTCCTTCGTAGGAGCAAATGTTTCTCTGTCCTTCTCACTTCTTTCTTGATTGGCAAATATTCTCCCACTTCTTCTGCAGCCAGATGTAAATGCCTTCTGGCATCCAGCATCCCTTAAGTTGCATCATCATCATCATTGTCATCATCGTTGTCATCATCATTGTCATCACCATGGCAACCCCACAGAGTCAGCCCTTACGCTGCTCTAGGCACTGTGCAATAGCCCATTTACCTCTCACAGAATTCTGTGAGTTGCCCTGATCGTACCCACTGGACAGAGAAGGAAACCAGAGCCCAGAGAGGTCAAATGACCTGCCAGAGGTCACATAGCAAGCAAGCGGCAAGCCAGAATTTGTCCCCAAGACTGTTTGAGTCCAAAGCCAGTTATACTCAAGCTCCCCTCGGAATTCTGTGCTGCCTGCTGCCTCCTTCTGGGTGTGCTCATCCAAGCCAAGTGAGTGAGAATCAGCCAGAAACGAAAAGGCTGATTCTCTACCAACATCTCCTGAGATTGTTTCCTGGGGTTAAGCCACGGTCGACTCCTGGGCTCCCTCTGTCATGAAGGTCTCTCTGGTCCTGCCCTGGCTCAAGACATGTCCCCGAAGCCTATGCAAGTGTGGCCGAGGCTCTGAACCTCTCCTGGTCATCAAACCAGAATGGACCCTGGTCATGTCTGACACCCCTCAAGTTCTAAGATTACCTAAGGTGACACTTTTTTGCACTCACTGGACTCAGGCCTTGGACTGAGGTCCTGCACCTCGGGTCTGAGTTGCTGCTTTCCCTTTGAGGAGCCAGAATATTGCTCCTTCATCTCTAGGCCTGGAAGAGGCTTAGGAAGTTGGAAGAGAGTCTAGACTATAGCTCCACAGTGTGGGGCTCCGGGGAGGAGGACCACGAGGACAGGGTGAGATGGGGGAGGTTGCTCTGCTTGTCCGCCTAGGAGGACAGGCTACCTGTTAGGTCGTGGGATCTCCTCCTGGGCGTGGCCTTCCTTGAGCTGGAGGAAACTGTTAGAAAGCAGGTACAGCAGGATGGACGGGCAGGGCATGCAGCTCTGGCGTTCTTGGACAAAGACAGCCCTCTAAGTTTCCACCACTCTGTCTTTCCTTGGAAGGTTTGGCTCCAAATCCCCACGCCGGGGGGCGGGGAGGCATCAAGCTCAGGGCCGAAGGCAGACTGCCCTCACCTGGATTCTGGGGGTGGGGGTGCTGGGCATCCTGGCTGGGAGGCTGGGGTGGAAGAGAATATTGTGTCTGGCTGCCGCTGTTGCCCTAAGGGGACAGTCTGTGGGCAGTGTTGACTTTTTATAGCTGCATGGGAAACATCAGGGAAGAGGGTGGGCTGGCCGTGGCCTGGGAGCCCAGCTATATTCCGCCAGCAGAGAGGGCCCCTGCCTCAGCCTCTAGAGGTCCTGCAGGCTGGGCTGGGCAGGGTGCCAGTGAAGGCGGGAGGGACGAGGAGAATTGCTGGTGGTAGAGAGCCTCTAGTCTCGAGGCCACACACTAGGTGGAATCTGACCCACAGATGTGCTTTGTTTAGCCCACCTGGTGCTTTAAATCAGAAGATCTGGCAACACAGGGCTGGAGTTACATAACGCTGTCCCTTCAAAGGGGACACACAGCATCCGTTTTGCCCCAGGCCCCGCCTCTCACACCTGCCTGCTTCATCTCTGTTCACTGCGGCACCTGTGTCTGCAGCCTCCGGTCTCTCAGGCTAGCTGAGCCTCTGCTCTTTGTGTCACCAGTTCTGATGGTTCTCACTGCCTTCCAGTGGGTTCCAGTGGGGGTAGGGTCAGAGGTCAGTCGGGGAGCTTAGCCCCGGGAATTGCGCTGGGACATTGGGAGCATCTTGGGAAAGGACATTATTCCCTGAATGAACAGAAGCCTCCCTCTGCCTGCTTCTCTCTCTGAGCTTCTGCATGCACACGAGTGTGTGGTTCTGTGCACGTGTGTGTGTATGTGTGTTTGTGTCTGCACATGGGCCACACAGAGGGTATCAGACCCAGCTCTCCCTGGAGCATCCGTTTTGGCTAAGGACTGGGGACTCCACCTGTTGGACCAGTTTGATGCCTGCCCCAGAGCATCCTGAGGGCTCTCTGCACCCTGCTGTTTGCCTCGCAAGGTCTGCTCTTGAGAAGGGCCCCTTCTAGGACCAGGAGCCAGGCTGGGGCCAGGAGGACCCAGCTGGGCAGGGAGGTGATGCCCCGCCTCTCTTTTGTATTTGCTTGGTGCTGGCTGAAGATGCGCCAGGAGGAGACCAGCTATACGGTGGTGCAGACGAGTGAGGAGGGGCTGGCGGCCAGCGGCGAGCTCCCCGGACCGCTCCTGATGCTGGCCCAGAACTGCACCGTCATGCACAACCTGCTGGGCCCAGCCTGCATTTTCCTGCGTAAGGGCTTCGCGGAGAACAGGCAGCCTGTACGTAAGTTGGCCCCGGTGGAGCCGCGCTCGACTTGGCTTCACAGGGCGTGAGGAAGGAGGTGCTGGGAAGAAGAGGGGGCTCTGTACTCAGCAGTGCGCATCCCCCAACGGATACACCTCAAACCCGCAACTTGTGAATCTGACCCCCAAAGTTTCCCACTGATGGCTGCAAAGCCCTGGTGAGTCCACATCCACCAGCAAGAAATAATAGCAGCTAATATTGCTTGGGTGTTTGTTTTTTTTTTTAAGCACTTACTATGTGCCAGGCACTGTGCTAAGTGCATTGGCTCATCACCTCTCTTAAGCCTCAGAGCAACTCCAAGAGGTAGGTGCTATTATCCTCCCCATTTTACAGATGAGGAAACTGAGTTGGAGAGGTAACATGCTCAAGGTAACATCTGGTGGGTGATAGAGGTGGGATTCAGATTCAGGGATACTGACTCAAAGACCTCCTGTGCTCTGAACAACAGTACTGAATATACGGCACCATCCAGTAGAACTTTCTGTGGAAACACTGTCCAATCTGCGCTGCCCTCCCTCTACAGTAGCCACTAGCCACCTGTGGCCACCGAGCCCTTGAAATGTGGCTAGTACAACTGAGGAAGTGAATTATTAATTTTCTTTGATTCCAATTTAAATAGTCACATGTGGCCACTGCTTTGGACGGCCTCCCCTGGGTATCTGCAGTCACAGAGAGGAGGGTATTAATAGTGATGTTACAGATTCAAACATCGGTAGGTTTAAATGCCACCTGTTAAACACTTTACGCATCTTGCCTCACAGATGCTCACAAAGGCCGTGTAAGGTGAGTATTGGTATTAACCCATTTTACAGATGAGGAGACTGTGGTGCACACAGTTGAAGGGACCTGCCCAAGATCCTACATCTAGGAAGCAGCAGATCTGGGCTTTGCCCTTGAGTCCATCTGACTCTAGAGGCCAAGCTCATCCCTCGACTGCTTAAGTTGAGGAGTGAGGGGTGTGGTGGGCTCCATTCCCACCTGACCCCCCAAATCGGTGCTCATGGTTTCTCTGCCCCATCGGTGGGCAACCCCGGCTCTACTACACATCCTCACGCCGCTCTGCCCTGGGGAGTGTATGATTCAGGGACCGGCCAGCAGGACTCAGTTGGACCAGCTCCGGCCACAGGCACACTGCCAAGGGGTACCCAGCTTTTTTGCTCCCTGGCTCTGGGTTTATAAGGAGTAGGGTGGGGGCTACAGAGCTGGGTCCTGGAGATGTGAGAGGCTACTTGAGGCCTGCAGGGTGGGAAAGGTTGTGTCACTTGTCCCAGTGAGCATACTCTGCACGTGTGAGTGCATGCATATAGTCGCTGACACTTTCACTTACTGGGGGTCCCGGGCATCGTAAAAGACATTCTTTTTGGTCACCCAAGATCCCAGTCTGACTCGGAGCAGCTAGTGGGTGATAGAGGTAGGATTAGGTAGGTATTAGAGGGCGTGACAACCCCTCCCTGTGAACAGTGACAGGTTTTTAAAGTGGAAGTCCTTACGATTATTTCACAGAAACAGACACCTTCAGGTGAGTCCTACCTTCAGCTAAAAATGCCGCTAGCAGGACCTGGTAGCCTGCAGCCTACTCGTTCCAGGCTCACGTACGCTCTCAGCACTGTCCTACCACGTACGGCCACTTCTGAGAGCCGGGTCCTTCCTGCGCAGCTGGTGGTCCCACAAAATGTTGCTCAGCAGCCCCTTTCTAGAAGATTCTCAGATTTTCCAGCACTGGGGTCCCTTGCCCTGGGGCCAGTTTGGAGCAGGTGGGCAGCAGCCTCTCACCCGCCCTGGCCCTATTGGCTAGAACAGCCTATGTGCACAGCTGAGATGCCTCATGCTCCCTGTGGTCCGCTCGCTGTGGCACACCCGTGTGTCTGTGTTTGCGATCGGTGTGCCCACACCTGGTGTGCACTTCCTCAGGGCGGGCACACCCTGCCCCGTGTTCTCCCTGCCCAAAGGCAGAGAGCTGTGACATATGGAGAGGATGAGCCCCATGGACCAGTTTTGGAGCCTGCTAAGCATGTCCATCTGGGCACCGCATCCATTTCATGCCAGTCTGTCTCCCTTCTGGGCAGGCCTGGGGCGACTGACACCTCACCAGCCGGAGCCTGCCCCCTGCTTCCTCTGGGCCTGCTCTTTGGAGACTTCTCTGCCATCTGTTCAGATGCCTCGTCCCAGGGCTTCCTTGACTCCCCAAGGAGAGCTGGGCACTGTTTGAGGTTGCAGACGTGCACTTTGGACCCTGGCAGCCGCCAGAGGCACTGGCAGCCCCCAGGGTCCTATGCTGTGTCCTGTGACAGGGCGAGGTATAGGATGGGGGTCCAACTGGAGAAGGTGGGGCGGTGCCCAGGAATCAGGGCACAGCCGCATCCTGCCTCCACTCCCTCAGCTCTTCCTCCACCTCCTGTTCCTCCCTCTTGGGTGCCTGTCTGGGCCCCCACTTCCCCCCCGGCCCCTCGCTTCTCCCATTGCTTTGCAGGCCTCTTCTCCCCTACTCTTCCTGGTTTCTTTGGGTAGAGCCCTCTTCTTTCTGTTGTGACCTCCCGCTAACCCCGTTTTATTTACAGGTTTTGGCCTCTAGACCAGCTCTGTTCGCTGACACGTTCTTGTGTCTGGAATAAGGGGCTGGGGGCCCAGAGGTTCTGTACCCAGGCTGGAGAGGGCTCCTACTTCCCTGGGCATCTCCCATGTCTGTGGGACAGGTGGGGCTGCATCCTTTCCCCTCCAGGACATGGTCCAGGCATGCCTCCGCTGCTGCCCCATCACCTCCCACCCAGTGCCTGCTGCCACTGGGACGGCCGTCAGCTGGGCCATGTACGACTTCTGGGCCCCTTGCAGCTGCTAATAGGACATGTTCTTTTGTTTCAGGACAGATCACTGCGGCCAGAGGAGATTGAAGGTAAGAACTGGCCCCTTAGGGGAGAGGGCTGCTCAGCCATCCAGAAAGATGAGGAGAGGAAGGTGGGTGGGAAGAGAGGCAGAGATATCTCGGCCTCCTGCAAACGGGGCCTGGTGCAGAGCCAGGCATCATCTGTGGAGCCAGGCGTTGGAGGAATGCAAGAGTCAGCAGGCCCTCGGGCTGCCTCTGCCCCAGAGACTCTGCAGGTCATCCCCCCACCCCCCACCCCACCGTCCACAACCAACCCTCCCCCGCTTCCTTCGCTTCCCCAGAGCTCCGGGAGGCCTTCAGAGAGTTTGACAAAGACAAGGACGGCTATATCAACTGCCGGGACCTGGGCAACTGCATGCGCACCATGGGCTACATGCCTACCGAGATGGAGCTTATTGAGCTGTCTCAGCAGATCAACATGAACTGTGAGTCCCTCCACCGGGTACCTCCTTCCCTCCCCAGCCTCGCCCTCGCTGTCCTCTGCCTGGGTTCAAGTTCTCGGCCCACCTCTTCCCAGCTCTGTGACCTGGGGCAAACTACTCTCTCTGTGCCTCGATTTCCTCACCTGTAAAATGAGGGGTGGGATAGAGGGAATAAAGCACAGGAAGTCAATTGGGGGTATGTTTATTTCTTTATTATTTTTTCATGGTGTATTTATTCATTTATTTTTTATTTTTATTTTTGGTAACAGCTTTATTGAGATATAATTCATAGACCATACAACTGGCTCACTTAAAGCATGCACTTCAGTGGCTTCTAGTATGTTTAAAGTTGTGCAACCATTACCACAATCAATTTCAGAATATTTTCATGGCCCCCAAAAGAAACCCTGTGTCGCTTTGCCATTACCCCCAAGTCCCTCCCCAGCCCTAGGCAACCACTAATCTACTTTCTATCTAAGCAGATTTGCCTATTCTGGAAGTTCCTTTTTTATTTTTATTGAAGTATGCTTGATTTACAATATTATATTAGTCTCAGGTGTACAACATAGTGATTCAAAAATTTTTATATATTGTACTCTATTTAAAGTTATTATAAAATATTGGCTCTATTCCCTGTGCTGTATACTATATTCTTGTGGCTTATTTATTTTATACATAGTAGTTGGCATCCCTTAATCCCCTGCCCCTATCTCACCCCTCCTCCCACTTCCCTCTCCCCACTGGTGACCACTAGTTAGTTTCTGTATCTGTGAGTCTGTTTTTCTTTTTTGGACGTACTTAAAACAGCCAAATACCTAGCACACAGTAAGAGGTGAACAGAGGATGCCATTATTATGTTTTTCTCTGTCTTCATTTTCATTCTCCCAGGAGCAAACCAGGAGACAGGGGTTTGAGTGCGGTAGTTTACTCCGTAGCGGCAGGACGGCATCGGTAGGGGGTAGGGAGATGAGAGGGCGGAGACGAGGAGCCAAGGCAGGAGGCGCTGGAGCAGCTGCCACTGTGGGTGATGGAGTCTAGTTCTGCAGGGAGCTCGGGAAGCTGACGTAGCAGGCCCACCTCGGAGTTGTCCCCAGCCCTTACCTCTCAGGCTGGGTATTTATCCCCCAAACTCAGTCACTGGCTGAAAGTGCTGTGAGCAGACCCCAGGGGGCAGGTCCCCTGTATTTCTCCCTGCTGAGGGCCGCTTGGAAGGTGAATTCTATTTGCACAACGAGGGAAAGGTGGGGGCAGGTGGGCCAGGTGCCCACGGCTTCTGCTTCTCTCTCTGCTTTTCTGCATGTGTGTCTCTGTCTCTCCTTCTCTGAAATTCTTTGCCTATCTCTGTGACCTAATAATTCTTTCTCCCCTCCGTATCCACCCCTGTCAACTTCCTGACTTGTTCCTTTAGTCAAACTCCAGCCACTCCCCTGAGCCATTCTGTGACAATCCCCGGTCCATGGTCACCTCTCTGTCCTCATTTGGCCTTTGCTTATACCCTGGGCCTGGAGCTGGGCAGGTCAAGGAGGGTTGTCAGTTCCCTCAGTTGCCTAGTTGGAGATGGGCAGTGGTTAAATTTTTATTCTTTTAAATATATATTTATTTATTTATTGACTGCGCCACGTGGCATGCGGGATCTTAGTTCCCCGACCAGGGATCGAACCCGTGCCCCTTGCAGTGGACGTGCAGAGTCTTAACCACTGGACTGCCAGGGAAGTCCCAGATGGGCAGTGGTTAGATGGATGATCCAGCCTGTTCCTCTGTCCCCAGTGGGTGGCCATGTGGATTTTGATGACTTTGTGGAGCTAATGGGACCTAAACTCCTGGCGGAGACGGCAGATATGATTGGAGTAAAGGAACTGCGAGATGCCTTCCGAGAGGTGAGTGATGGGCAGTGGACAGGCAGGGGCAGGGAGTTTGTTAGAATTCCAACCTGGGACGGAAATGTGAGCTCTGGATCCCAGACCAGGGGAAGGAGCTTGGACAGAGAAGGGATCCGGGGAAGGCGGGACAGTGGTGCTGGAGAAGGGGCTCAACCTTGGGATCTGCTTCCAACAGTCTCCATGTTGTAGCTACTCCTCCCTCCTTCCTGCCCTCTCTAGTTTGACACCAATGGTGATGGGGAGATAAGTACCAGTGAGTTACGAGAGGCCATGAGGAAACTCCTGGGTCATCAGGTGGGACACCGAGACATAGAGGAAATTATCCGAGATGTGGACCTCAATGGGGATGGACGAGTGGACTTTGAAGGTAGGTGGAAGTGGTTTTGAGAGTGGAAGAGAAACCAGGGCAGTAGTGGGCATCCACAGAGCCCTCCACGTGTGTATCCATGATGCAATCATCAGTGCACTCCAACTTCCCATCCCCCTACCCTTCCATCCTGCCACCCCTCTAATCTGCCTTCCATCCCTACACCCGTCCATCCATCCAACAATCTGTCCATCTTTCCATATCTATCTTTCCATCTTTTCATCCATCTATCTCTTTATCTGTCCAGGTGCCTATTTACCCACTCACCCATGTGTAAACAATTATCCATAGAACCATTTATCTACGGCCTTATCTATCCATCCATGCACCTATTCATTCTTCTCTACATTCACCCATGCATTCATCCATGCATCCATCTACCCATGTACCTCTCTCCAGCTATCCATGCATCTCTACCTCTCAACATTCATTCATACATTTATATATCTCTACTCATTTGCCTATATTTCTACCCATACTTCCACTGATCTGTCCATCAGTCTGTACAGTCATTTTCCCATCTCTATCCATGTACTCATCCATCCATCCATCCCTGTGTCCATCTGCCCCCATCCATCTCTCTCCATCTATCTGTCCACCTACTCCTGCATCCATCCATGTAGGTATTTTCTGAATACCACATTCCTCAACCTGACACTCAGGCCCCCTAAAATCTCTCCACAGCTCACCTCTCTGGCCACAGCTCCTACCATTCCTTCACTCACACTCCACCTTAAAGCCATAGGTGGTCCATGAACCTCACAAGCTGTCATTTGAATACATTGTTCTTTTTGTCAGGATACCTTTTGTCCTATTCTTCGCTGGTCCTAAATTCTATTCATCATTCAAGACCCAGCAGTGGGGCCACTCCCTCAAACACTGCTTTCCTCATTCCCCAGATAGAACTTCCTCTTTTCTGGGCTTTCACAGCACTTCAGGCTCACCCTCATTCTTCACACTGGCCCCTAAATGCTAGTTATATCTCTGCTTGACTCTGAACTTTTGGAGAAGAGGAACCCTGCTTTCTTTATCTCTGTCATTCCCACAGAACTCAGTACCGGACACATAATGAACGCTCAGTAAAAGTGTTTTTAAAATAACTAATAATAATTATAATAGTGATCATCTATAACTGTACAGTTATTGTATACCAGTCACTGTAGTAAGTAGCTTTACACATATTATCTCATTTAATTTTCATAATGACTCTAGGGACTGCACATTATTACCTCATGTTATAGATGAGGAAACTGAGGCTCAGAGAAGTAATATAACTTCCTAACTGGTAAGAGGCAGAGCTGGGTCATAAACTCAGGCCTGGAATCTCAACCACTACATACATTACACTGTACATGATACCGTCCGAGGCACCATGGGATACGGGAAAAAAAAAACAAAACAGCAAAACATTGATTCTGCACTCCAGGAACGTGCATTCTGAGCAGAAAGGCAAGATAACCATGAGCAAGACTGTGAATATGTCCAGAACACAAAAGCTGGGAGGCCTTTTCTGGGGAGTAGCTGGTCTTCAAGGTCAAAGAGAGTGTGGCAATGGAGAGAAGGCTTTGCTACCACGAGAGCTGAACATTTCAGGTCACCCCATGTCCAGGTAGTGACTCCCACAGATGCCGGCTCTTCCCTGAAAGCCCAGCATCCCCCATTCATTCTACCAGCGTGTGTTGTACACCTAGTGTGTGCCAAGACCTGATCCCTGCCTTGAGGAGCCCAAGACCAGCGAGGAAAGCCGAAGCCAGCAGTATGGTCCATGCTGTTTGGGGGAAGTACAGCAGGCTGTGGGGCACAGTGGGGGCATCTTTGCCATGCTGGGAGGGGGGATTAGGGAAGACTTCCTGGAGGAGGCTATAAGTAAGTAGAGCCTTAAGAGATAAGTAGGAGCCAGCAGGTGAAAAAGAAGGAAGAGATATTTACCCAAAGGAATTGAAAACTTATATCTGCACAAAAAACTGCAAACAGATTTGTTGTTTATAGTAGCTTTACTCATAATTGCCAAAACGTGGAAGCAACCAAGACGTCCTTCAGTAGGTGAATGGATAAATTAACTATGGTATATCCAGACAATGGAATATTATTCAGCGTTAAAAAGAAATGAGCTATCAAGTGATAAAAAGACACGGAAGAACCTTAAATGCGTAGTAAGTGAAAGCAGCCAGTCTGAAAAGGCTACATACTTTGTGATTTCAACGATATGACATTCTGGAAAAGACAAAACTGCGGAGACGGTGAAAAGATCAGTGGTTGCCAGGGGTTGTGAGGAGAGGGAGGGATGAAGACGGGGAACACAGAGAATTTTTAGAGCAATAAAACTATTCTGTATGATAGTACAATAGGGATACATGTCATTATACATTTGTCCAAACCCACAGAACGTCCAACACCAAGGATGAATCTTAATGTAACCGTGGACTCGGGGTGATAATGTGTCAGCGTAGCTTTATTGACTGTAACCAACGTCCTACTCTGCTGCAGGATGTTGATGATGGAGGAGACCGTGCGTGTGTATGGCAGGCAGGGAGCGTATGGGAAATCTGTACTTTCTGCTCAATTTTGCTGTGAACCTAAAACTGGTCTAAAAAATGAAGTCGAGTTAAAAGAGAAGGGAGCAGGGATAGGCTGCAGGAAAGCTGAGAGGTGAACAGGAGGGGCGTGTGTTGGTTGCCCCTGAGGAGCTGACAGGGAGCTCTGTGGAGTCAGAGCTTAGTGGTTGGAGGTGAGTGGTGACAGGTGAGGCTGGAGATGTCAGCTAGGGCCAGAACAGGGAGGCCCTGGGGTCGTGTCAGGATCCAGCACGTTATCCAGTGGGGACCATGAGAGGTTTAAGAGGGGTCAGATACGCAGATAGAAAGCTCCTGCTAGCTGCTGTGTAGAAGGTGCATTGGAAGATGCTGGATGGGGGAAATTCTCCGGCCGTCCAGCGGTTAGGATTCCGCGCTCCCACTGCAGGGGGCGCGGTTGGATCCCTGGTGGGGGAACTAAGATCCCGCATGCCGTGTGGCGCTGGCAAAAAAAAAAAAAGAAGATGCTGGGTGGACGTTGGGGACCAGCATCGGTCAGGGGCCGCGGCAATAGACACGGGGCCACCGATCCGAGGGAGGTTTGGAGGCAGCGTCCTGGGCCCTGACTGCTGCTTTCTCCCCACCCCCTCCTGTGCACCCCACCGCAGAGTTTGTCCGGATGATGTCCCGCTGAGGCCGCCAGGGCCCCTCCAGGACTGCCAAGCTCCACGGGCGGGGAGAAGAGGAGCCGGAGCTCGCCTCATCCCGCCGCCGCCGCCGCCGCCGCCCAGAGCCCGGGACGTACTGGCGGATGGGGCCTGCCTGCACCCCGGGGAGGTGCCCACCCCGGACCCCCGCCCCTCCGCACTGTGAAAGACTCACGACTCCTGCAACTGGAAAGGGGGGCGCCCGCCGACGAGGAGGCCACCGCGCCAGGCCGGCGGAAGTCAGGCCGGGCGCCAAGTGCCATAGACCCAGCCGCTGCTGACTGGGGGCGCCCCACACAGCATGTCTGCTCCCCGGGGCAGAGCCTCTCGCCGCCCCCCTTAGCTCTGTGCCCGCCCCCCCTCGCCTCAGCCCTGTTATCTCAGAACCAATAAAAATATTTCCAAGAGAAAGGCGGCCGTGGTGGGGGTCTTTGCTTCTCCAGCCTGGTTAGATGACACACGCGTTTCCTGAGTACCAGCTGCGCGCTCAGAACTGGGTGAACCTCCCTGCCCTCGACTTGTACTGAGTTCCCATTAGGCACCCAGCCTCTTCCACCTTTGACTGAAAGGGAGACTGGGGCATATAGTGATGTAGCTGGATTTGCTGCTACCCCAAACAAGGTCAAGTTCTATAAGGAAAGGAGACTGGATATTGGTTGGGAAGCATCTAGCAGGGTCTGCCTCACTTCCTGCCTCCGTGGAGATTTCACACTGGTCGAGATAATCACATCCATATGTGATTACGAATTGTGATCCTGCTTTCAAGGAAAAATGCAGGGACCTTTGGTGGGGTAGGATAAGGAGGCCTGGACTACTCTCTGGGGAGATCAGGAGAGGCTTCCCTGAGGAAGTGATAACGAGGTTTTTGCCCTGGAGGAAATCCCAGTGTGTGTGAGGACACGAATGTATTAGAATGGAATCAGCTGCCAGACTCTCTGCTGAGTGAGAAGCAGGATGGTATAGTCGTTAGGTCCTGGATTTACTTGCTGTGTGACTTTGGGCGAGTCACGTCTCCTCTCTGAACCTCAGTTTCCTCATGTGCAATAAGGGGATAATAAAGTCCACAGTAAATGATTTCAGAGTATTGCATTGCCCACCTCCAGGGGCTGTGAAATTGTGCAAAGTGGCATTATTAAACAGGATCCATTGTAATCATTGTAATTAATTTCTATAAGCCAAGGGCTTAAGGAATCCAAAGGAGAAGTTTGTGGGTAGAAGTCGCCCAGAATCTTTGACAGGCTTGCGGCATAATTGGACAGGTGTGTGGGATGGACCCATGTTCTCCAAGCCAGTGGTTCTCAAACTTGAGTATTTTCATCAGAATCGCTTGGAGGGTTTGTTAGCCCCGCCCCCAGGCCTGGGCCCCACCCAGTGATTCAGATTCAGTGAATTTGCATCTCTAACAAGTTCCAGGGCTTGCTTGATGTTCTCAGGACCTCAATTTGAATAACACTGCTGTAAATCCCAGACACGAGGGAGGCAGGTGTGCTGTGGGCTAAAGGCTGGAAGCAGAAGGTAGATGGAGGATTCGTGCTCTCGGATCTTGCAGGGAAGGACTGTGGGCACCCCCGGGCACCCCCCCCACAAAGGCCTGGGTAATCCCCGTGTCCCAGAGGCTAGGGTGTCTGGGAGCTCCAAATTCCCTTGAATAATCCAATTCTGAGACTAAGCCCTTGGCTCTGTGCCCCAGTAGGCAGGCCTGCAGCCCTGCCTGCTCCTGTACCTAGCTCTGCCCAAAGACCCCCAGATCTACACTGTTTCAGAAATCCAGTGACCTTGGAGGGCCAGAGGAGCCATTTGTAGAAAGGGGGCTTCTGTGTCAGCTGACAGGATGAACCCTTGGGGGCACCACAGGGAGAGGGTAGAGTTAGGGTGTCAGCTAGGACACTTCTGTCCTCAGTATTGTGGCCTCCTAAAATCATAGACAAGGCAGCTGTGATAAAGCGACTTGAGAAGATGACAGGCCACTGTTCAGAGGAGTGCTCGAGTCAAGGGGAGGCCCAGAGGTGGGGCTGCTGCCTTCGCCAATGCTGAGACTAGTGCTTCTCCCCTTGAATTTGTCTTATATCTAGGGGTTCCTAATAAGATCATTTGAAGAAAAGTTTCTCTTACTTTCCAAGAACTGAGACCCATTTTCCGAGATGGACCCTATCCCAGGTAGGAATTCTTTCTGCATCTTCACCCCTGCGTGGGTGGGTGTCATCTTAGAAGAGTTCTCCTTGTCTGTAAGGTCTTAAACTGGGCCTGGATTTGCCTCCTTGTGACTTGTAAAGTGCAACTCATTCACTCATTCATTCATGCATTCAACCACTGTTTATTGAGCACCTACTATGTGCCAGGTCCTGTGCCAGGGTCCCTGTCTTCTAGGAGCTCAGACTGGAAGGGGAAACAGATAAGAAAACAGACAAGGCTAATGTAGTGGTATAAGTGCTATAGTTACTAGGTTACTTATGAGGTTAGCCTAGGAGAAGTGAGGGTACTAAAACATACCCACCCAATCTAGTGGGGTGGAAGGGACAGATTTGCTAGGACCTGAAGGCTCAGCCATGCTCAGTCAGAGGAAGTGAGGGGAAGAGTGTTTCCAGTTGAAGGAACAGCGGAAGCAAAGACCTGGAGGTAAGGGAGAGTGTGGCTCCTTTGGGAAACGAAGCAGAATTCCACTTGCCTGGTGTACTGGGCTGGAGGGAGGAGTAGAGATGATGCTGGTCAGAGAGGCAAGGCCTGACCCCACCGCAGACCTTGGAGGGTAGAGCGGCTCAGGTGGGACTTCTTTTTTTTTTTGTATTTTATTTTATTATTATTGTTATTTTTTGCTGTACGCGGGCCTCTCACTGTTGTGGCCTCTCCCGTTGCGGAGCACAGGCTCCGACGCGCAGGCTCAGCGGCCATGGCTCACAGGCCCAGCCGCTCCACGGCATGTGGGATCTTCCCGGACCGGGGCACAAACCCGTGTCCCCTGCATCGGCGGGCGGACTCTCAACCACTGCACCACCAGGGAAGCCGTGTATTTTATTTTATTTATTTTTTATACAGCAGGGTTTTTTTTTTTTAAAACCTTTATTTTTTTATTTATTTGTGGCTGCCTTGGGTCTTTGTTGCTGCACACGGGCTTTCTCTAGTTGCGGCGAGCGGGGACTACTCTCCGTTGCAGTGCGCGGGCTTCTCATTGCGGTGGCTTTTCCTGTTGCGGAGCACGGGCTCTAGGCGTGCAGGCTTCAGTAGTTGTGGCACGCAGACTCAGTAGTTGTGGCTTGCGGGCTCCAGAGCTCAGGCTCAGCAGTGTTGGCACACGGGCTTAGTTGCTCCGCAGCATGTGGGATCTTCCCAGACCAGGGCTCGAATCCGTGTCCCCTGCATTGGCAGGCAGATTCTTAACCACTGCGCCACCAGGGAAGTCCCAGGTATCAAGGTTTTTTAAAAAACGGACCTGAATAGGGACTTCCCTGGCAGTTCAGTGGTTAGGACTCCGTGCTTCCACTGCAGGGGGCATGGGTTTGATCCCTGGTTGGGGAACTAAGATCCTGGATCCTACATGCCACGTGGCATGGCCACAAACAAACAAAAATGGGTCTGAATAAATGACAGTGTCTAGAGATGTGCACTCCAGTGGAACAAAAAAACATAAAGAAACACAAGGGAATTATTCCTATAAAAATCTGAATAGGGACCTCCCTGGCAGCTCAGTGGATAAGTCTCTGCGCTTCCAATAGCAGGGGCGTGGGTTCAATCCCCTGGTCAGGGAACTAAGATCCCACATGCCTGTGCAGCCAAAAAAAAAAAAAAAAGTCTGAACAGTGGTTCCTTTTAGGGAGAGAGAGGGAGAGGGCTGGGATTGGGATGGGGCACAGAGAGGGGAGTTTCTGGGGAGTCTGGCAAAGTTCTATTTTTTTTTTTTGGCCACACCATGCGGCTTGTGGAAGGCTTGTGGGATCTTAGTTCCCCAACTAGGGATTGCACGGAGGGCCATGGCAGTGAAAACACTGAGTCCTAACCACTGAACTGCCAGGGAACTCCCAAAGTTCTATTTATTGATCCATGTGGTAGTTACAAGGGTGTTTGCCTCTCGCTAAGTTGTACATTTATTCTGTATGTTTTTCTGTTTGTCTTATTTTACAATAAAAAGGTTTTTTTTTTAATTGTTGTTTGTTTTTTAAAGTGTGAACTCAAGAGTCAGCCACCTGGTTTCAAATCTCAGCTCTGCCACTTATAAGCTATGTCTTCTTGGGTGAGTTATAAGACCCTCTGGGCCTCAGTTTCCTCATCTGCAAAATGGGGATGAGGTTACAGGGTTGTTTTGAAGACAAAACAAGCTAGTATACTTGAAGCCCTTGGAGTGGTGCCTGGCACATAGTAATCCTGATACAGGTTTTTGCTATTTTTATGATTATTGCATTGTTATTCCCTATTTCCCTATCCCTTCTCCCATGTGTCTTCATGCCTCCGTGATCCCCTCTCAAGGAAAGGGGAAGGGAGAGCCAGCCTTGGCATTCTTTAATAACTGTGGCTGAACCTCTCATTGACAGTGACAAGATAATCACAGCTTAAGTCTGGGATCTGGCTCTATGACCAGGGAGTGACGATCTGCACAGTATGGTCCTGCAAAGTGGACCTGATGCTGTTGGCTGTGCCTGTGGCTTAGGCTGCAGGGCCAGAATGTCCCTTCACCCCTCTGGAGGTGCCTGCCACCTGCTCCAATGATCTTACTGATGTCTGTCTTTCCTCGAAAGAGGACAAAGGGGCTGAGTTTCATGATCAAGGGATGGGCTTTGGTGGTAACATGAACTTGCTTTCTAACCCATCTCTGCCACTTAGAGAGGTTAAGGGATATAGGTATTAAGGGAGTCCCTCTTCTTCTTTGAGCCTTGTTATCCATTATTAATGATAATAATTGCACATACCTGGGGGGGTTGTGGAGAAATAATCCATGCATAATGCTTAATAGAAGGCCTGGCTCAGGGCCTTCACACATGCTGTTCCCTCTGCCTGGAATGCTTTTCCCTGCATTCATTGAGTAGCTGTTGGATCTTTCTCATTTCTTGGGGCTGGGCTTGAATGTTTCCTTGGCTTCCCTATTGAAGGAAGGAAGGAAGCCACTGCCACATCTCATTTATATTCTTTAGAGCATATATGTAATTTCTGGCCTAATACATTTATTATATTACTTTTTTTTTTAATCGTTTGATGCCCCCTGCCCTTCACTGGAATGTAAGTTCCATGTTGGCAGAGACCACATCTACCTTGTTCACTGCAGTATCTCTAGTGTCTAGTAGGTACTCAGCAATTATTTACTGAACAAATGAACAAAATCCACAAAAAGCCTGGGGGTGCAGAGGGTGGCAGCCATCTGTGACCACTGCTGTCGGGTGCAGGAAGGGCTCCAGGCCCCATTCCTGGTGGCTTCCTGACCT